AAAAAAAAAAAAAAAAAAAAATAAGCAGCCAGAGCCAAAGGACATGAAAAGCCAAAGAAAAGCCCTTCAGGAGCTCTGCTGAAGGCAGCTGCCTTTGCAGGATAGTGCAGGGCCCCCATGCAAGGGGGTCCTGTTGTCCAGACAGCCCAGATGCGTCATTGCCCCATGCACCCACTTCCAGCCGTGCGTCATCTGAAGTCTCCACTTCATCAGGATCAGGAACCTGGGGCTGCAGGCACTGAACATACAAGCTTCCTCCAACCAACACAGCAGGAAAGTGGGAAATCCAAGGGCACCACCCAGACACAGCCCTCCTGAACCCCAAACTAGACCCCAGAGACGATTGCCTCTGCTCTACAGGGTCTGCCCATGGCAAGCTCCGAAGCCAGGATCTTCCCCTCTCTTCCTGCCTGCCCAAAAAGATGCCGAGTGCTGCACACTCACTGCAGTTACAAGCTAATACTGTTACCATGCTATGTCCCGAACTCTCCTAGACCCAGCCACCCGCATCCATGCCAGCTGCACGTCCCTGCTACTTCAGCGGCCGCACAACCCCCACTCAGCGCCAAGAGATGCTAGCAGCAATGCACCGAGACCAGCGCAATGTGATGCTCCTTGCTGGAGCCCCATTCGCCTGCAGCCCCAAGAGGGGACAGGCGGCGAGCACTGAGCATCGTGCGCAAACTGCTGGAGGAGCAATTACAATAAGACGCCTGAAGGGTCTCGGCCCCTGTGCTCAGCAGCCCGGGCTGGGAACAGCCTGCCTGGGACACCTCCAGCAGCAAAACAGCCTTGGGTGGATCTGGCTCCTGGACAGCCGGAGCCAAGGCATCACGCAGGGAACTTATCACGTGTCCTGCCTTTGATCCAGAGTAGAACAGGACTCGGTCCTGCCGGGTGGGTAAGCAGGGTCATTGGCACCTAGAGGAGGGGAGGCAGCACAACCCGCAATGAGCAGGAAAAGCAGCAAGATAGGAATTCCCCACCATCTGGGACTAAGCAGGGTTTGTGGCCGCCCCAGCACTGTCAGGGGTTGCCAGAGGGACTCTATAAAAGGAGCAAGATGGGTTCAAACAGGCCCTAAAGTCATACCAGGCACCACCCTGTGCTTTGCCACCTCTCTGCCAGTCTCCACCTGCCTCCTCTCTTCAGCAGGTCCCAGGACTCCGGGAGCTGATGCTTGAAGAACTAAACAGCAGGACTCTCCATAGACTTGGCCAGCCTGCCCCCACAGGCTACCGGGAGCAGAGCAATGTTTCCCATGTACTAACCACACACCCTCCACACAGGGCCCAACTATTCCCGTCTTACGCCTGCCTCCGTCTCCTGGGGATGTCAGGACAGGATTGGGCCCATTGCTGTAGTTTTGCCTCACCCGCCTGAATTGTTAAAGGGGCCCAAGACCTTGGAGGTGATGGCCTGCAGAAGGTTTCACCCAAGGGGATGCCCCAGGAGCCAGGCCCGGGTCCCTGCCCCCTTCCTCTTGCATGGTTGTTTGTCCAGGGACTGCTTCACAGAGCCTGGTCCTGCCCTGGACTGTAACGGCACCAGCAGCAAGGAGGACGTTCAGGATTCCCAGGAAGTAAATGGTTGGAAAGATGCCCATGGTACTGCTATGGCCCCCGTGACTGCACTGCCCTCAGCCCATAGCAGATGCCCCGCAGAGACCCATTTGCTCCTTCAGCCTGGCAGATACAGGGAGCTCTACAATCAGGTGCCTTATCAGGTGGCAAAAAGAAGGGAGGCCAGGCTTAGTGCTTGCCACAACTGAGCTCACGCTGGCCTTTGCAATTGTCTCTCTGCAGTTGGAGCATGCATGTGTCCATGTCTGTGGACACGCATGTACATGTGGGTCTATACCCAAATTGTAGCCTGAACAATCCCACTTGTGGGATGTGCAACTTCATTGGGGGTCGCTTCCCCTCACCTGGCAGCAGCCTGCCTAGACAGGGGCTACTCACAGCCACTGGGCCACCAACACCTTCATGGTGCTGCCCCCAGACGCTTGCTGGGGCCTCCCAGCACAGCACCACCCTGCCATGTGCTGCACTCAGACCCAAGCTGCTCCCCTGGACACCCAGCCTGCGAGCGGGGACCAGAGGCAGAGCCTGGCCCAGAGCCAGAGCCAGAGCCAGCCTTAACCCGTGGCCAGCAGTTTCAAGCCTGCAGCAAGAACCACTTCCACACCCAGACAGGCTGTGCTCCAACAGCCAAGCACTGGCGTGGATGTGGCCTCAGTAGAGAACAAAGCAGCTTTTCCCATGGTTGGGCAAGGGTTTTAAGCAGTCCAAGGAGAAATCAGGGCATTAGCTGACTGGGAGCCAGCCTGCTGAGAGAGACAGAGAGAGTGTTTCTTAGCCTTGGTTGTGTGCTGAAGTGTGTGTGCAGGTGTATGGATGCCTGTGAGCATGCACGTGACTACACAACACAGTAAGCACGGCTAGAGGGCTCACCAGTGATTTCAAAGGTTACTGCCTAAAGGTGCACAACAACGAGTCCCAGTTCACAGCCTCCATTCTCCGACCTCCAGGACTTTCACCACAACAAAGTCCTGTATTATGGGGTGAAGAGAAGCCCAGAGATGCTATGAACTCCATTAAATATACACATCCTCCAGTGCGCCTATGCCCTGGCTTCCCCCGAGCCCTTCATCCCAAGCTCATTATTCCAACAACCACAAAAGCAGTTGGGATAACAAGATTGACCTTATCCAGGGAAACTCAGTCACTAAAGCCCATAAACACAGGCAGATAATAGGATTTGAGAAGGACCCTTGCTAACTTTCACACTTCCAGGCAGAACAGGCTGGAGAGACCTGGGGCATCTTCACACTGGGGTATCAATAAAGCACCTTGCCAACCCGTCTTGGACCTCCTTCCTTGGAGACTGAAGTCTGCAGACCGGAAGATGCTAACCCCCGAACAGAAGGCGCATCTGATGGGGAAGGTTACAGGCTTATAGTAATCATCCAAAGCACAAATTAATCAGAGTTATTTAACATATCATTCTATAAATGGCGATGCCTTGGTAGCAGCTCCAGTGGAAAGGTTGTTAATGTATTGTGGGGTCCCGAGACACTCGGGCAAGGCAGGCAGATCGAGTACCGACAAGTGCGAGCACAACGGGAATCTAACAGAGGGGAGGACAGCAATACCCAGTGACCAGCCTTCATGCGACAGCTCAGTCCCTCCGGGCGGGGGGCTGTTAAGCCTGGGGGTAGGGACCGTGGAATGGTAACTGTGCTGCAGCCTAACTCCCCTCCACCCCCTCGTTACACTCAAGGCCCTTCTCAGAAAATGCCAGCTCTTCACTTGATTTTTTTTTGATGGCGAGGCAGGAAATACTAGAGCAGTTCTCCCATTGCAGAGAAGTCAGGAGGACTGCACAGGGCAGGCTGGTTTTAACCCTCTGGATTCCTATGGGAAATCTCTGGGTTTAGCTGAGAATCACGTGCGCAGGGCTGACATGGTGCGGCACCCCATGGCGCCCTTGGAAGTATCGCAAGGCGCCCCACGACACCAAGGCTCTCAGGTAGAAAATCATGGCTCAGTGGGTGGCACATCCGAGAGGGCCCCTTCTCTGTATTTAACCTCTGTGCTTCCCTTATTTAGGGAGTTCCACTTTCCATGGTGGAATTAGCCATCTGCTGTTACTAATGTGCTCGCCAAGCCACAGTTGCACTATTGCTTCAGCTAGTAATTTGCCTCCCCGAAATGCCCAGGGCAGGTACCTGGGCTTCCTGCTAGGTAGCGGATGCCCTCACATTAGCCATTATCTCTACCTTACCAACGGCACTCGCCATCCGACCTACCTGCACCCAGGGCCTCACACCTGGAGTTACGCCAAGCCTGTAACCCAGAGGTCTCAGGTCCTATCGTTTTCCCTCCTTGCATTACGACAAAGCAAAGGCTATTCCTAGCCAAGTTGTATCCACTGGCTGCAGCGCATGCATGTGCATACACACACGTGTACATATGCACGTGTACACTTTGGCGGGGGGGGGGCAGACAACAATGAAGGGCATAGAGGAGCCAGTTTTAAACACAGTGTAACTGCAAGAAACAACAAGATCCGACACCAGCTCCTTCTGCAAGAAGGCCTGAGACAGCCCCGCTGGTCCCAACAAAAGAGCACATTTGGCAATGGGCGGGTAAGGCAGGAGCAGACTTATTCAGACACAAGCGTGTGCAAAGCCAGGCCTAAGGTTGCCCTGTGACAGTC